CGCCGCTGGCCCGTGCCCTGCCGAGAGAGAAGAGACACTCCGGTTAGGTTAGGAGACCTACCCCCGCATTGCCCACCACCCTTGTGCCCACCCAGCCGCTCCCCCGGCAGAGGAGCAGGAGTCAGGAGCTCCCGGCGCCAACCACGCTGCTCACAGCCCTTTGCTCCCTTTGGAGAGAAATATATAACTCTGAAAGCCTTAAATAAATATGAACATATGTAAAACAAATCCGAAGGTGTCAGCGGGCGATGTTGTGCCTCGTACAAAGCTTCCCGCCCGGAAAGGGGCAGAGTCGGGGCATCCCTCCGACACCATGCTCCTGGCAGTGCCAGACCGCTCTGCCGGCGTGCCAGTCGGCGTCTCCCGGCACAGAGCGACCCCGCCAAGGCTGGGGAAAGACGGCGTTAAAATCCCGCTCGGGGTCCCGGGTTCCGTCGCCAGCTCCCAGCTGGCATCGAAATCTGCTCGACAAAAGCTGGAGGGGTCAGGCCAAAGTCACCGCCGCCACCGCTCCGCTAATTGTACATCCTTCACGAGCCGCCGCGGAGGGCATGAATTATAACCAGTTGCTGCTGACACCCTCCCACTGCTCCGGCTGGCGCGGGAGGCGATATTCCCACTTGGAGAGGGCAGGGAGACGTGGGCAGGAGCAGCAGAAAAGCAGGCAGCGGTGCCCATCCTCCGGCGTCGCCACTTCCGCCCTCCCGGCTGAACATTATACCGAGGGCTGGGGGTATCACTTTGTCGCGGGGGAACCATCTCCTCCTGCCGCCATCCGGCACACGGGATGTTGCCTGCATGCCCCGGCGCTGGCAAGCGGTGCTGGGGCCGGCGTGCCGGGGAGCTGCGCGGTGACCTCAGGCACGCACCGGCAAAGCCCGTGACCGTCACCCACCGGGCAGCAAAGCACGGACGGATGATCCCGGAGCCGTGCCCGGGGCTCTCCTTGCTCCGACGCTTCACATGTCACCCTTTGAAACACGCCGTCGCGGTCACCGCAGTGCGCAGAGGATGGTACCTGCGCGCTTGCCGCTTGCTCCCGCCCTGTGCCCCCCTCCACCGGACAGGGGGGTCGCAGGCTCTGGGCTCGTCCCCGGGCTGGACAGCCGGCGGTGGCGGTGGGACCCGCACAGGGTGGCAGCGTCGTGGCCGAGCTCTGCCCGAGGGCGCTGGGGGTCTCGCCCAGTCCCCCTCCCCAGGCTGCGAACTGGGAACAAGTGGGAGAGTCGTTAGTGAAAGGTGTGAGGAGCAGGAGGGGAGGAGGAAGTCATCTAATACCAAGCAGGTGTCTGGAGAACCCAAATTGTGCTGTTTTCTCCTAATAATGAAGTATTCATGAGTAAAAGCCTTTTTCACTACTTTCTTAAGATACTAATTTCACAACAAGCGCCTTGTTACCATGCAATTATTCCAATCGTGCATTTCTCCCAGATTCCATCTGTCCTCGCGCTCTCTAAATGAAAGACAATCATGTAACCACCTTTCATTATTCACTATTTTACTTTCAGCAAAGGTACCCTGAAAGAAATGATTTCCTCTGAAAGGGACTTTTATTCAGTTTCAAAACCAATTTTCTCCTATTACTGTCTTAAAAAAAAAAAAAAAGGAGGGGGGCAGGGAGGTGTTTTTATTTCATGCATTACATATCCTTTGTTAACGCAGCTCGCAGTAAAAGCAGCCGTATCCATTTTCTGGCTTCGATTTCTGGTAATTTTAAAATATGCCATTACAATCAGGCAGAAATTATACAGTTTGAAAAGAGAATGAAGTGCTTCTTATTCAGAGCCTGAGCGCACTTGACTGCCAGGGAGCTCGCCTCTCCCCGCCGGGACTCGGGGTTCATTACGCAGCCCCGTTCCCG